TCATCGCGACGACTCCTTTTTTCTCGCAACGCGAGATCTGATTCTCCTATCCGTTCCCTGATTTCATTTAAGAGACTCGCGATCGACTTAGAAACTCCGATTGAGTGTTTCGTATCACTTTCCTTTGGGAAATACAAACATGTTGCCCAGAACAAACGATCGTAATCGTTAACGATCGTGGGTCATGAATCATCGTCGAGATTTGCGAGACGATGTGCGAACTCGACTGTGGCCCAGGCTGCAACTCTTAATGACAGTGTCGTTACATTGTCATTAAGCCAAGGTATAATATAAACGTTGGAAAAACTGCGCAGCAACGACGATAACAATAACGATACTGCCGTTAAGAGTTGCAGATTACGCTCACAGGCGCCGATAAGACGCGCGTCAATGGCTCTATCAGGCCGGGTTTCTTAAAGGTGCATCACGATCACGCACGCGGTCGTGAACCGGGCGTGCGTGCGTGCGTGCACGCGTGCGCGCGCGCGCACAAACAATCGGGTCACCAGGCGCACATTAGACTTTGGCACACATTGCGGTAGGCTCCATCTCGTCTACGCGATAATAGAGTCTTCGGGAAATTGCGATCTCGGACAGACTGGTGGTGTATCCGCGCCGCGGCATCGCCGCCGTCGTTCCAAAGTTCAGAATTCGCGACTGGTACTGTCTCGACTGGTACTGTGGGGGGGAGGGGGGAGGGAAGGTTGGTGTAAGGGGTGCTATCGGTGCATCCGATAATATTTTACCCATTTTTTTGTCGTAATGCCAAGGTCGTGGAAACGATAGATACAAGGCGAGGCAATTATCCCGGTCGGCAGCTATTTCGGGAAGCGCCACCGTGCTGTGTAATTATGCTGAGCGAGCGTGAATACCGCTGAGCACATGTCGAATGTCGGGGTTGCCATTGAAAAAACGAACGAGAAGTGGGATTATATAATATGGCAATTCCTGAATTCCTTTGCCTCTGCAGAGCCTCGTTGAGTCGGTCGAATCGCTCGCTGAATGTCTATTCAAAGAGAGATTTGGATGCGAGATAAGAAAAAAAGAATTTTACTAAAGAAAAAAAAAATAAAATAAAATTACGTCACAGAATGCATTAGAAATATTTTTGTATGAAAAATTTGGCAAAGAAGAAATAGTAGATATTCGTAAATCTTCTCCTTGAGCTGTCTTTTCGTCTAGCCTGCTTTATGAGCTACAATCTGAACAAGCTTACTAAATGTTATTTATGATATTCATGTTATACTGAATTCTCTTGTAGCTTAAAATAAATCTTCTCGGTTGATTTACACTCATACTTTCAGCCGTAAAATATTGAATTTTGAATTTGTGAATGTCGCTTCTAGGCTTGAGCAGAAATTATAATTTTTCTGAAATTATCCCAAAAGATTTAATGGTAGATTATTATTTAAATAAGAAATAATACGTAATAAATAATTTATTATTTAATAAAATAAACTTATAGGAAAATATCATTAAATTTAATCGCATTCAGAGAGTATAAGTCTATCTTAAAAAACAATTCTGCAGTTCTAAAAAACAATTCTGCAGTTCTATGTTTAATGTAAAAATGTCCAACGTGAATGTGAGTTATTATCTTCAGAAATAAATTTAATACGTAAATCTGCTGTGTGTGTGTGTGTGTGTGTGTGTGTGTGTGTGTGTGTGTGTGTGTGTGTGTGTGTGTGTGTGTGTGGGGTGTATGTGTGGTGTGTGTGGTGTGTGTCGATAATACAAGCGACACGTGCCGCATTGTACGCTAATGCTTTTCCCCTGTGTGTGCCCCTTCTCCCGAATAATCATGCTGCAAACTATAATTGCCATCTCGTTACATACGCGTTTTCCTGCCTTCCTTCGCAAGTGGAAACGCGTTTAATAAGCCGATAAGTAGTTGTTGCGCAAGCGATTTCGACAGTTCTGCTCCGTATTTCTCCGCTCGCAGAGATCGGAAGTCGGAGATCGCAAGCGAAGAAAATCTGTCGCGTGACACGCTCTGTAAGATCAAGGATGACGACAGTCGAAATATACTATTCTCCGCGAAAAGCGAGTTGAACGTTTTAAGAATAATTTCAGCGTAATTTAAATAACGTAAATTTCGAAAGCGTAAAATTGTGATACAAACGAATAACTTTTTGGAACATTATAACGGAACATATCTATATATTTTTTTTTTACTAGAGCGCAATTTATTTATTATTTCAAGCATATGTAAAACAAATGTTAATGTCCGTTTAGAATATAATCAGGCTCGTGGATATAATTATTTACAATATACTAAAGATATATCGTAGTATTTCTAGTCAAATGTTAACATTTCTTCACCGTATACTTCCAGACTATTCGCTTTTATAATCTTATTCGAAAACATATGCGCCGCGTCATTTTGCTGCGTCATTTTCTTACGTATATAGCACTACGATACGCAATTTCTACAAGATGTCTTTGACAAACTACGTTTTTTTTTTTCAAGCCAAGAATATAATCATAATTTTGCGATAGCAAAAAGTCAAAATAAACCACTTATCTGCGGTATATCTAATGAATGAATTCTTTCTGAATGTTTCTTTTTTACCATTTCCAAGATTAGATCCAATATATCCGATAAAACCGGATATTTCCTAGTCACGTTCGTTGTAACGATAAGCTTTCGTATGTGGCGTTCAAACAGAAATTCCACTAAGGCTAATGAAGCTAATGAAGCTTATTTTTTGTTTGACATTATCAGATTTGATTATTAGCCCTAGCATGTATGGCATTTTATCACATTAAAAGCGATGCCTTCTATTTATTCTGTATATCACATGGTTTTTATATTTTAATATATAATTAAATATAAAAGTATAAAGTCATGCGGAGCAGATTTAAACTTTATAAATCTTCTCGATATTTACGACATACATTTTCTTGAAAATATGCAATCTGAATAGCAACTATATTATCACAATAACAATATGATGATAATAATGTCGGAAATCATTAAAGGGAGGGGGAGAGAGGCAGTATCGTGATTTTTAATCAGGTCCGTTTCGTGTTGGGGATTTCCTTTTGTTCAATTTAACATAGATGCAAATATTTCTCACGATTATAAATACTGGTCTGCATCTACTTTGCAAATTCAAAATAAATAGGAGGAAGTTGATTAAATTTTCACGTTGGAGGGAAGAGTAACGAAGCAAAATAGTATCATATATAATTAACTCTATTACATCACACATTATAAATTATTCTAAGACCTTGGATCGACATCTTTTGCGCGATATATATAATATATACATCTAATATTTCTTGAAGGCACGAGAGTTAATTAAAAGTTAGAATTAAAATGTTCATGCGAGGTATTAATCCGTTTGCACTATATGTCGATGTTACGTCACCGATTCTCTGGAAATTATAAGAATTATAAGAATAATTATAAGAATTCATATTTAGCAATCGGAATTTACATTTTATTGAATTACTTTGAATTATTTAAAATTGTTAAACGAAAATTATACTTTATTTAAGTAAAATAAAATTTTATTCGCAAATCGCAAATTTGTGAAACTCTTTTTAATAGAGACAAGAAATTAATCCCATAAAATATTGTTTCAATATAACAATTTTTAAATTTACGCGGCGGACACTGAAAGCTGGAAAAATTTAAAATTTAATTATTTAATTATTAAAACATGAAAATTTAGAGTATAATATACTAATTTTATGCATATGATATATATTATTTTGAAACACATTTACTTTATAAAATCATCTTATGTAACTTTCGAAATCTGACATTTCGTAATGCAATGACCTAATAATAATTGCATCGATCAAAGAAAGAACGAAAAATCAAAGAGTTGAAATTGTTTACGAGAGCATTTTTGTCCATGCGTAATCGATGAGTTTTTATAAATTTTCAATATTTCATTGTGCGAATGACATATTTGAAATCTCATTATAAAGTTATTATTATCATATCTTTTAAAGTTTTTAATAATAAATATAATAATTAATGATGAATATAAGTTCTAAATCAGCAAAAAACAATTGGAATTTTTCGATATCGATGGAATTATTTGATGGAAAATTCTGTAACACCTATCCCGTAATACGTCGCACGAATCAATTCTACCTTCGTATTAGTTAAATATGCCGCTAAGCGGTTTATCACTTACATTATATTATCGTCGTATGCATTTTCTCAAGGTCCGTGGCGATTTGCATACTTAACCCCTACTGACCCAGTATCGACGACATAGTGTATCCACTGTTATTAAAATCCAGAATTGTTCGCGCCGCAAACATTTATTGAATGTGGCATAATCACTACCGGGAAATCTAATTTATTTTTTAACGCACATCTTTGATTTAATTCATCTTAATATTTATCTATTTTTTTAATGCCTAACTCATATATATTATACAAGAGAAGGTTAATTTCTATCAAGAAATATTTTCTTAGTAATCATAATCTTATATTTTTAATATCTGATACCGAAGTTTACGATTATTTTCGATATTCGACATCTATTCTAATTAATAATGAAATCGCATCGCATCGAATTATTTTGAATATTATTTAGAATTAAAAAAATTATTAAAAATCTTGAAAGTCTTGTGAATGTTTCGGAAATACATTTTTCTGCTATAAAATTTTACATTATCTCGAACTTTTTATTTTATGCAGACGATAAAATAACAAATTTATTTTTAAGAATTATACATGTTTTAACATAGATATATTCGAGCAAAAAAAATTGTGAAAAAAGTTTACATTCTTACATTCGAAATTTTCAAAACTTTCCAGCATTTGCAACCTATAAAGTTTTTCAAGAATTTTCGATTTTAAATGCAAAACAATATAAATATTTTTACACAATTGAAATGCTTGAAAAATTTTCAGGGAAAAGCCGAATGATCATCACTAATAGCAGTCACTCTTAAAAAATGCGAAAATCAATCCAAATATAAATCATTGCAAGACGGAGTAAAATAAAGAGAGGATTTCTTTTATATTGCAGATGCAGATATGGGCATGGGTGCTGGAGTAGCGGGTCCCGTCCTGGCTCTTCCTGGTCCAGGAGTCAACGCCGCCCTCTCGCAGACATGCGCCATATGCAGTGATCGTGCCACGGGAAAGCATTACGGCGCTGCGTCTTGCGATGGTTGCAAAGGTTTCTTCCGCCGATCTGTTAGAAAAAATCATCAGTACACATGCAGGTATACACATTTGTATTGCAACATTTCAGAAATACGATAGATCGGCGTACGCCCGTTTGATGGACGATTTAGTGGCATGCGCGGGTCTGATAACTGAGAGCGAGACGAACCATTCTTCAAAAGGGAAAGCACTTGTTTTTTATTGTTGCAGATTTCAAAGGAAATGCCCGATCGATAGGGATAAGCGAAATCAGTGCAGGTATTGCCGATTACGAAAATGCTTCAGAGCCGGTATGAAGAAAGAGGGTGAGTTTTCTTGCGAATCCATTGCGTATTGTAAAATTTTGACTTTAAAAAATATTTGCAGAAACGAATCTCTACATATAAACTCTAACTCTTGTTTTGTATATTTAATTTCTATATATTCGCATATCGTAATTAATATGGCATGATACTCATAATATTCATAATACTCATTATTTCTTAATTTTGCGAACTTTACTTTTTTGTACGGGATTAATTTTTACAGCCACGTTTTTATTTATGTTCGAAAAGTAGGAATTTATGTAAAAGTTCCTGATAATTTTAACAGCCGTGCAAAATGAGAGGGATCGGATAAGTTGTCGACGACCTAGCAACGAGGATTCGCCTGATAAAAATAAAGGCCCATCGAAGGAGGACGTGGTAAAAGCGGATGCACGGGCCGAAATGCTCAGCAAACAAGTTGGCGGGTTAGAGGTGAGTGATTTAACCTCTGATTAAATAGAATATTTATAGATCTTGGTTCATTAACACTCATATGCAAAATTCGGCGTATCAATCAATTCATTTACTTCCTTCAACGCCGTGCAATGCTTGCCATTGTCGTTCGTCATGGGAACATCGTGAAACTTATTGTTTCCTTATTAAATTCGACGGTTTTGATGATTCTTGATTCACTTTTTATACTATTTTTAGTTTTATACTATTTTTATATCCGCATGAATCATAAAACGAAGTGTGATTGAAGTGAAACTATATTTTTTTAAATTTATAGTAGATATTTGCAAGAAGAATTTAAAAGGTTTTTACATATTCTTTTATGACAATTTAAATTAGATTATTCAAATTAATTTATTTTCGATTCAAGATTATTTTTTTAATTACTTTCCAGGTTAGTCATTTAGGTGTGATTAATTATGATTTATTAGATATGAAAAAAAGAAAGATTCTAAATTTTTTATTTTGCATTATTAATAATTATTATAATTTTAAGTCTGTATTTACTTCAGAAATCTACAATACTTGCATCATAGACACATTATGACGTACACATTTTATACTTTTTTTAAATTTAATTGCATCTAAATCGATTTATTTACATCTCGAGGGTAAGACTGGGCACAAAAATTTCGATATATTTTAATCTTTCCAATATCATTTCTGTACATGTGAAATAAATGTATATTTTATATAGATGTATATTTTTCTTTTGAATAACTGGAATATTATTAGAATCTTTTTTAATAACTGCAACGCCACGTGACAATTCATGTAGCTTCAGCAGCCAGACAGTCCAATCGAGATTGATCTCAGCACGAAACGGATAGCTGGGATAAACGACGTGTGCGAGAGCATGAAGGAGCAATTGCTGATCCTGATCGAGTGGGCCAAGTGTTTCGACGAGTTCAAGGCACTGTCGCTGGACGACCAGGTCGCGTTGCTGAGGGCTCACGCGGGCGAACACCTGTTGCTGGGAGTGGCGAGACGCAGTAGGAACTTCACGGATGTCTTACTACTCGGCAACGATTGTATCATCATGAGGAACTGTCCTGGTACGTAGAGTTCGCCGAGATCTCCCTAGAATTCGGTTTTTGTAGCTTCTTAAGTTTCTCTTGTCCGAGGCGAAGCAAGCGCTGATGTCGATCGTAAAAAATTCCGAATTTACCCGTGCAAATTATTTTTATCGCACGGAAGGTGTTTCGCGTATGTAATTTCTGAAAGGAGAGCCTGGGCCGCTCATCGAACGCGGCTTTTCAGCATTTTCAGATGTTCGTTTCTCTGAGACTCGTACTTTTGAAAACGCGTGAAAACGCCTTATCGACAAATTTTATAAGTGCCACTCGACACCGGCCTGCTCCGTTCGCGCTTGTTTCTAACATTTGTACGCCGCGTTTTGTCTTTGCGTTTTGTCTAAATAATGTTATTAATATAATGGGGGAACGTATATATAAGGAGACGTGCTTGAGGAGTTCTCTGGAGTTTCTCTGGGATTAGTAATGCTCCTTAAAACGGATGAAGGTGAATGTTTTCAAGTGGCAAGATGAATATTAGGCAAATCTTGACCAGTTTTCTCCTGACGCATGTTGCGCAAACGTCTTGAGTCGCTGCGTTTCGGATGTTTACCTTACATATGATGCGAACAACAATAATAATTAATGTATGAAATATGAAACATTTGCAAGAAATAATAAATAGAAATTAAAGAATGCTTCTATATTCAGTATTCACTATAATAGAAGAGACATTACTTTGTCTTTAAGAGATAAATTTTACTGCAACCATATTGAATTATATATATTAAGACGAAATAAATTAATTTTTCTGATGAAATGTAACAATATTCTTTTTACTAATGAATATACATATATAATTCAATTTGCATATATTTGTTTTTATAATAGAAGCGGATTTCATCACGGCTTATTAACATTCATATCTATTTTGTTAATTCATAAATTAAAAAAGAATCTTCATAATTTATATTATAAAATAAATGTGATGAAGATAAAGATTAACTTATTTCTGCGTATAACGCAGAAAAAAATCACGTGTTTCAATATTATAATTCACTATGACTTCAATAAACAGAGACTTTTTAATAAGCATAATATATTAATATTTTAAAAATATATTCTTTTTTTTTATTCTGTTTTGAGTCGCATTTTCAAATCGTTACGTTTCGAAACTTTAATAGAATTTCTTTACTTTAATAGAATTAATAGAATTTAGAAGAAATTAATAAAAAGGCTATTACTAAGAAACTGTATTCAGAATTCATTTTTTTGTTTCTTAATAAATATTCTGTTTTGAAAGAATTGAAATAAATAAATATGTACATAAATATGTAAGTGTAGCTTTTCTCTCAAACATGTATAATATTTCGGAAACGTTTCAGTAGTATAAATATCATAAAGTGGTTCTTATCTTACGGTATAAATACCATAAAGATTCTTTATCGAACGGGATAAGATATCCGTCTTGTTAGAGCGCTGCCTACGTTTTAGCTTCTTTTTTTTTGTCGTTCGAAAGAGAGCCTCTTCTTCTAAAAACTAAAAGTCAATTCGACTGCGACCTTCACCTTTTTGCTTACGTAATTTCGTTGTCAACATATGCGCGACTGCCGCATTATGCCGTTATTCATGATCGAGCGGTCTCTTATATGATGCTTCTATCAAAATATCTTGTTATTCTATTTCATCATAATCCCGTAATAAAATTAAAAAATGTTACTCATTATATTCTGTTTCTCATCGAAGAAAGAAGAAGAGTTGCTCGGATGAGTTTCTTCGACTCGGATGAGTTTTGGTTCGTTGTTTTCTTCTCAGTATATACGTAAAATGTACGTTATGTTAACGATTTCATAATATTTTAATATTTTATCGGTAAACACGTAGGTCTTTCCTCGCATTCTGGACTTATCTGGTGAGTCGTGAGATATAGAGACACATTTTTTGCATGGGCAAGACTTCTCATTTCCTTTGTTCATTTCTTTACGAAACGTCGCCGTTACGTTCGAAATCCTAATTATGTTACAATTATTTGACATTTTAATATGTTCTCTGTGTTAGTTTAAATTTTATAGATTTATATAATTAAATATCCACGTAATTCTAACCACGTAAACGTCTTACACGTGTTTGTATTGAATAAAAAATGCGAAAATATGAATGTTGACTCGGAATTAATTTTCTTGCAATTTTCTTTCGACGCAGACGCGCTTTCAATTATTTTCCTTTTATCTATCACGATGTGTAAAATATAAAATAATATGTACATGCATGTATGATGCATAAATTTAATTTTTGTAAATTGGAGATGAAATTTATGGAACAGATGGATGATTTCATAATACAATATTCCCTTCTATTCGAAATCTGTTATTTTATTGCCGCAAGGACAAGATGCATTATATCGATATATCACGCGACTGATAAAAGAAACACTGCGTCACATCATTTATCTTGTCACAAAATAATCGCATTTTACAATGTAAAACATTCTTAGGAATATTATTACTTCTTGTGATTAATTTTATTTATGAAGGATATAAGTGGTGTATTGAAAATCATGCGCGAAGTGATTCATTTAGTTGGAAATCTTCATGATAAATTATGATAAATATGATGAATGATGAATTATGATAAATATAAATACGAATAAAAAAAAATCGTTTATTTTAAAACAAAATACACACGAATATAATAATATAACGCGAAAAAAACAATATGAAGCAATATTTTGATAATTAAGTTTCAACTTTGCTAAAAAAGTATTTTATTGAAGATTTCGACTAAAGAATAACGATAAGAATAACGATTTAAACTGGGGCTGTAAATAATATTCGGATTTATTGATATTCGGATATAAATAATTCATTGAATTGTTGCGAATTAAGTTCGAATATCTGAGCCATCCGAATAAATTATCTGAATCTTAAACCGTAGCTAACTCTACGAATTTCTTTGTTAATTCGGATTCGGGCTAATCGGCATGAAAGATAACTATTTGCTGAATTAGCTAGAATTGATTTAGCTCCGTTTTAACTTCCGTTTCTTCTTGGCTGATTCTAAAAGAGTATCTTTTACAGCGAATAATAATAATTATTTTGGACAATATGGATATTATGTCGAAATGTTTACAGCCCCTAACTCAAGTTCAGCTAGGGAAAATTTATATTCGCTTCATAATGTAATAACGAATCGCAAAGCATTGGTAATCTACTGACTTATTAATTGGATGTTTCACTTGTCGTTGCACGATCACGGGGCTTAGGTGGTTGACTGAGTCCGGAATTCGTGTGCCACTTTAAAATGCATGCCGAAGCATGAATGTTTGGTTTAGCGTTACGAATTGGTGCAGAAGATCTTTATTTATCCGATAATATTTATCAAATAAAATTGGAAAGAACAAAACATTCGACGAAGTTGAGAGGATGCAAGAGCAAACTTTTCAATTTTCTTTTTAGAGATTCCTTCTAGCTTTACCCAATACGAAATTTGAAAAACGACAGATCTTTCGCATCAACTTAGTAATATCTGCGAGATTCCTTTGTTTTTCTCTTCTCTTTCCACCGGACTCAGTTTTCTATGAGAACGAAAGAACAACGGTGTAATCGCGCCTATCAGTAATATCATTGCAATTCGTAGAGGGAAGCAACCAGCAGGATCTGGACATCAGCAAGGTGGGCATCAGGGTGATGGACGAGTTGGTAAAACCGTTTCAGAAGATCAAGATCGACGACACGGAGTTCGCTTTTCTCAAAGCCATCGTGTTCTTTGATCCGAGTGAGTGTTCCGCTTATAAGCTCAATTCAGAAAGGATCGTCGCGCGACAATCGCGATTACTCATATGCGAGCGGAATAGAAAAACATTGCCGCGTGCGATTGATAACAAATGCGTGCCGTTAATATAGATCAAATGTGTTTCGCTCGCAATAATCTCTATTCGTTCTCGCAAATATTCGCGATCAATTCGATCTCGTTGAGACAATCACGCCTTGCCTGGGCTAGGCTTGCTTGAGCTTGAATAAATAACGCAAATCATTGCTTATTTAGATGTCGATGAGACAGGGAGAAAAAAATTGCATACTCCAATTCCAATTCCCTTGATGCGTCAAGACTCGATTAGCCGATTAATTTAATATTGCGCCGTGATCTCTTTACTCGTCCATTCAATTTACAATTAATGATTCAGAGTCGGCGAAGAGACGTTGCATTGCAAGTGAACAATGCTCGAATTATAAGCGAGATAACCGCCGCTTATAATTAGAAATAATTTTGCTTCTTCGCTATATATTTTTTTCTTCTTCGCAGACGCGAAAGGATTGAGCGATCAGAAGACGGTCCGAGAGCTACGTCACAACATCCAGATAAAGCTTGAGAATCACATCAGCGATTATCGTTGCGATCTGCCAGGACATTTTGGCGATATCCTGCTTATGCTTCCGGCTCTACAGTCGATCTCGTGGCAGATGGTCGAGCAGATCCAATTCGTCAGGCTGTTCGGAGTGGCGCACATCGATAATCTGCTTCAAGAGATATTCCTGGGCGGCACGACGTCGGAAATGAACGGCACCGCCACGTCCTTACCAATCTCGAATACTGCCCCGGGTAGTTACATGAGCAGCAACGAGAGCCCCAGCAGCCCCTTGACGCCAGCCAACACCGGCAACCTAAGTCCACAAAACGATCAGATGCCCGTCATGATTCTGAGGGATCTTACGCCAAATCAAGAGGACTTCAGATTCTTCAAACAGGAGCCCAGCCTTGAGCCCGAGACCAGTTTCTGACTAACTTCGGGAGCTGAGCTCACCGCTGTATAACTAATGATGTTCTGCTCAAACAGTTGCTCAATTAATAAAATTCTACGCAGCGTGTATTATGTTAGTCGTAGCGTCGAATCAAATGTGATCGTTGATGTTGTTCCGTGAAATAAAGGACGAGAATGAGAAAAAGAGACAAAAGATTAGCATGTGTCGCAACAGAAAGATTAACGTGTTAAGTTAGCGTGAAGGTATCCGGGCTTATATGATTATAAGTTTAATGACGCGGCATGTTTCCTAGTTGCAATCCAAGATAGCCAAGGCCCGCACCTGTAAATAACGATTGATCGCTGACCAAGATAAATGTGATAAGCAATAAAATCGTATCTTGCCACTACTTGCTACTATCATTGTTGCGACAATATTCAGATCATTTCCGAAACCGGGCTAGGACTAGGAGGAGAGTTGCACGTAATACAACAGTGCAATTGACAATAATAATAATTAGTGACTAACTTAGAGCAAAGATTTAAAAAAATAGATTCAATCTCGGTGAGTTTGATTTCCTATAGGTGCATGAAAAATGATTCTTAGCTTTCACAGTCATAGTCAGTCACAGCAGACTGTAGCATTTCTATTGTGCGTGACTAACATTAATAACGATTGAGACTTTCCACATTTTATAAAGTCGGAATTCGAAATTCAGCGATATAATGTGGGTTTTAAATCCTGATTTAGAGAGTAAAAAATAAGATCATAATCGACTATTAAATTTTTGTACATACAGAAGTATGTTTGCAAGTCGAATTGAGTAAGCAGAAACGTTATGTCAAACGTAATATAAGAAATATTTTCTCTATTATTCTGCTTACATAGACACACAGTTCGCGAATTGATCGGATACATAGCGTTATTGTAGTAGTGTAAATAGCATGTTGTAATAATATGTATAACATTCCAAATATAGTTGTTATTAAGCGTTAAACATTATAGATAATCTTAAAATAGTTATCGGGACACGTGCACTAACGTCATCGAGTGCGGGTTCCCTGGAAAATGAAAAGTGCGCCATTGCAATGCAATTTACTATTAATAGCATAGTGATGAAGGGTGCACACGCGTTGGCCATTTTGCGCGTGCGAATGTCGAACGGTAAGCCAGTCCATTATAGCTGTGCTTAATCACAAATGGCTAGTGCATCTTATCGAAATATTAATTAAATTTTAGTGAGATGTCAAAATACTGACATTATGGCCGGATAGAAAGCAATAGCATAATAATCAGATAACAAGTTAACGATAAAGAAGTGTAATGAGTACGAAGTATGACGTAGTACATAAATCAATAAACACGCACATCGATCGCACGGGGATTGGAACTATAATTATGATACGTAACAATCGGAACTATGAGAATAATTTCATGCAAGTATGACTTCAAACAGCAAATAGCGAATTGCTTCCATTTTGAAAATACTTAGAATGTCTGATAAAATTAATCCTTGATCTAAAGGTCTTACATGTACACATGTTAGATAATCAAAATCAACAGATAATTCTATAGGAGTGCTGTAACTCAGGATAATTTCTCGTTTCTTTATTCAAATTTGATTATAATTGCATATTATTGTGACAATTAAATACGTCATATTTGCTTTATTAAATTTTGTACGATTTTTCATGACATGTACATCATTCATTATATATATATATATATATATATATATATATATATATATATATATATGAACGAAGTTTCACAACATATATAAAAAAAAAGACATATTTTAATATAAGATGTAGATTTTTACGGCGATTAGTCCGGCAAATATATATTTTATATTTTTGTACGAAAGATTTAGCGTTTAATATAAGAAGTAGTGCGAGAAAAATGCGCGCGATTATTATTGTTAATAATAAAAACAATTCCATTGGGAAGTGTAATATATAAGCGTTTCATTGCATATATATATATATACTAAGTTACTTTAACAATTTTTAGTCATGGGTTGTGAAATAGA